CGTTTCGTGGCGGTCCGGCGGCACTGCCCCCGGCCTTAAGAGAGAAAGTTAAGAAGAGCGAGAGGTGAAGCTGTGAGATGTAGATGAGAGGTAAAGATGTGAGATGTAGATGTGAGGATGTGAAGATGAGCAGAGATGTAGATGTGCAGATGTGAACATGAGCAGAGATGTAGATGTGTGAAGATGAAGATGAGCAGAGATGTGGATGTGCAGTCGTGAATGTAGATGTGAAGATGAGCAGAGATATAGGTGAGAATGTGGATGTGCAGAGGTGAAGATATGAAGATGTAGATGAGACGTAGTTCTGCAGATGTTTTTTTACGAAGAACCCTTCGCAAACGCTCTCGGGAAAAAGGGACTTGTTGAACCCTAAAACGGGCAAAGTTGTTGGAGTAGAATCTTGGAACTCAAAGTCACCAAGCTTCGACTGCCACCTTCACATCTTCCTCTTGGACATCAGCAAGCGCGTCATGTTGGGCCAATTGTACTGGCAGAAGTTCGCGTCACCGGCGGGGGTGGGCAGAGTTGACCAGGTTGGACAGTGATGTTCGAGGATTATCTGGGCCGAGGATGATAACGTAGTGTGGGGCTGTTTTTTGAGTGCAAGTCAAGTGAGGGGAGACTTGTGTATGAGTACAGATGAAAACAACAAAGAGAGGAAAAGTGGAAAATGAATGAACATGATGGAAAATTGCTTTGATCCACTTTATAAGACGATGTTCTTGCAACCATGGGGTTGTTGGAGGCAGGGCAGCCTTCGTGGAAACCCTGGCAAACTGAAAACTCCTTGGAGAAGAGCTTGAAGAAAGGAGCAGGCAAAATCTCGATGGATAGCATGCTGGAATATGCTGGATATTGCTGGATGCGTTCTGCGTTCACCTTCGGGGAAATTGGTTTGCCGCTGGGCCAGCAGAGGCAGAGCTCCACAGACAGGGCACAGGCGTCTGGCGTCTGGCGTCTGGCGATAGCTGGCGAGCGTCGGCTCCCAGTCGTATGGCGTGGCGCATGGCACGTCGTTGACAATCTGACTGGATCATCGACCAGTCGGTTGTTGGGTCTTTCTTGTAGTCTCTCCGACCTTTTCTCTAATTGCGACTTATGGATCGACCATATCGACCTGTTCGTTTGCTTTCTCCGTGTATGTGGGGTCGACCTCTTCTCTTTTCGCGTCGGGCGAGTCGAACGAAGGGGTACGACCAGCTGTGATGCATCGACCGTCGCTGCGGGGTGAACAATGCCTCGACGGTTCGTTTCTCGTTGGTGAGAACGTCGGAGACGGTTGCGGAACGGCATGGGCAACCGTGAGGGGAGTGAAATCCTGACGATACAACACGAGGTAGAGGGTGACTTGTGAGATGAAGGCTTTCTTTCGGCAGAGCGATATGGCTGTGGGTCAAAACCGGGACACCCTGGTTGACCACCTGAAAATGAACAGAATAGACTACGAGACATAGTCACCAGAGTTTGGGGCTCCAGGTTTTGACCCACAGCCATATGGAGCCATTGCAAGGCAGAGCCGGAAAAAAAAGGATGAGATGATGATATGCGCTGCTGCGAAAAAGCCATGGCGCCAATTCTTGTTGAATTCCGTGGGGGTTGAACGACACGTCCTACCTACTTGCGCTTTCTCAGCTGCAACTTTCGGGTCCATCTACCCCTCACAAGAGAGGCAAAAAATGCTACTACATGACCCCTGCCGCCCAGAAATGTCTCAAGAATGTTGCTACATGACCTCTACACGTCTCTCCCCGCTGCTCATGGCACCTGGAGCCTCTTCTGTGCCATCTTGTACGCCTCCTTGGGCCGCAATTGGCCGACACACGTAGTGAGGCATCAGTACGGATTTGCAGCACGCGCACTACTGCCAAAGTTACCCATCAACCCAAAGAGCTCTTTGAATCCAATGTCTATGCTGAAATACAAGATAATGCATCTACTGCACTGCATCTATGTTATGGACAGGCAATAGATGCATGCCTTCGCAGGCCGTTGCGTTTTCTCGCTTACCAGGAATTGGAAGGTGCTCCACACAAAGAACCGTAAATTTGCTCTACATCTTAGACTTGGAGAGAATGCTATCTCACCACTAGCATGGTCTCTTCCAGGAACACCTCCTTGAGGACCTGGTACACCTTGTTCGAGCGGAAAGCATCGAGTTTAAAGTCCAGGAAGTATAGTAGTCTATCGCCTATCAGCTGTACTGTCCGATTTGGGCTTGCAGTTTAAGCGTGAAAACCCTCCAAATCCATCAGTGCGTAGGGAGTCTCGCTGATTCAAGAGATGAGACCAGTTGGAGACTGGCACAGTTGGAGACTGAATCCATATGAATCCCGTGCGTGTTGTCTGTGGTGTCAGCTGAGTCAGCTGTGCTGTACAAACAGCTTTTTCATGACACTTGGGTGTTTTCTCCGGTTGCCCGGCAAAGCTGTTTCACGACTGATCATGAAACAGCCACGGACCGGGACTGTTTTTGCGGCTGAGAACTTGACACACTCTTCGAATTGAGTCTATCTTGGTTGGAGGCGATTGGTAATTGGTATTAGCTTGGAGGCCAACACTATTATATAGCTTGGACGCCATTGATAATAGGTTGGAGGCCATGGCTCTTAGGTTGGAGGCCATCGCTCTTAGATCGGAGGCCATCACTATTAGGTTGGAGGCCATTGCCATTAGCTTGGAAGCCATTGCTATTAGGTTGCCTGGAGGCCATTGCAATAGGTTGGGGGCCATCGCTCTTACACTCCATGAGACAATCATGGAAGCAGAGAATGCTTGCTTGATGCTAGAAGGGCACAGACTGAAAGAATAATTACAGTAACATGGAAGCCAGGGAAGCTTTTGCAAAAAACATGGAAGCCACCCAGAAAAAGGATAAATACTGAAAAATCCATGGTTTTGACACTAACCTGGAAGCAGAGCAGCAAAAACCCAGTTGTCAGGTTAGCCTAAAAAGCAACCATCACTGCACTGGTTTGATCACCTTTTCTCAATCAACATGGAAGTGGAGGTGTTCAATCTATATAAGGCTCAGATTCCGTGTTTTCAGCGCTCGCGGATGGTTTCTTTTCGATTTTTCCGACTTCTATGTTTGTGTCAGGTGCCTTTTTTGTGTGCCACAATGATGGGATGGAATAATTGTGTTTATCCCTCTATCCATGGCTGCTATGAATGTTGGAGGGAGAAAGGGTTGGAGGCCATCGCTGATAGGTTGGCGGCCATCGCTCTTAGGGTTGGAGACCATCGCTCTCAGGTTGTATCCATCGCTCTTAGGTTGGAGGCCATCGCTCTTAGGTTGGAGGCCATCGCTCTTAAGTTGGGGGCCATCGCTCTTAGGTTGGAGGTCATCGCTCTTAGGTTGGGGGCCATTGCTATTAGGTTGGAGGCCATCGCTCTTAGGTTCGAGGCCATCGCTCTTAGGTTCGGGGCCATTGCTATTAGGTTGGAGGCCATTGCTATCAGCTTGGAGGCCATTGCTATTGGGTTGGAGGCCATCGCTCTTAGCTTGGAGGCCATCGCTCTTCAGTTGGAGGCCATCGCTCTTAGGTTAGAGGCCATCGCTCTTAGGTTGGAGGCCATCGCTTGTAGGTTGGAGGCCATCGCTCTTAGGTTAGGGGGCATTGCTCTTAGGTCGGAGGCCATCGCTCTTAGGTTGCGGCTTTCGCTCTTAGGTTGGAGGCCATCGCTCTTAGGTTAGAGGCCATCGCTGATAGGTTGGAGGCCATCGCTCTTAGGTTGGAGGCCATCGCTCTCAGGTTGTATCCATCGCTCTTAGGTTGGAGGCCATCGCTCTTAGGTTGGAGGCCATCGCTCTTAGGTTGGTGGCCATCGCTATTAGGTTGGAGGCCATTGCTATTAGCTTGGAGGTCGTTGCTATTAGGTTGTGGGCCATCCCTCTTAGGTTCGAGGCCATCGCTTGTAGGTTGGAGGCGATCGCTCTAGGGTTGGGGACCATCGCTGTTTGGTTGGGGCCATCGCTCTTAGGTTGGAAGCCATTAGGTTAGAGATTGCTATTAGGTGGGGGCCATTGCTATTAGGTTGGGGGCCATCGCTCTTAGGTTGGGGGCCATCGCTCTTAGGTTGGCGGGCCGTTGCTATAGGGTTTGAGGCCATCACTATTAGGTTGGAGGCCATTGCTAGTAGCTTGGAGGCCATTGCTATTAGGTTGGAGGCCAGGGCTCTTCAGTTGGGGGCCATCGCTCTCAGGTTGGAGGCCATCGCTCTTAGGTTATTGGTGGGCATCGCTATTAGGTTGGAGGCCATTGCTATTAGCTTGGAGGCCATCGCTCTCAGGTTGTATCCATCGCTCTTAGGTTGGAGGCCATCGCTCTTAGCTTGGAGGCCATCGCTCTTCAGTTGGAGGGCATCGCTCTTAGGTTGGAGGACTCTCTGCACTGCTCCGCAGTAAGTACCTTTGTGCATCCTGTTAGGAATGGTCTGGACACAATGGCCAATGGTATGGTAACACCTTTTTTGAAGTGCTCTCAATTCTGCAGCCATCGCATGTTTGATCATTTTTACATTTGAGGAATGTTGAGAAGCATTGCGTCAGCACTAAAACATCCAAAGCAATGCGCAGAAAGGAATGGATATTGTGGATACCACTTGTTCTAGATAGGTCATTTGCCGTCATCGCGCCCTGTTCTCGCATTGGTGTTAGAAGAAGAACGGTATCAATTGCAATGTCCCGAAATCATGTTATTGTTTGTTTACTCTTGCCCAGACACTCCATGTATGGAATATATGCCTACATTGACCCCCCAAAACCACCCCAATGTAGGTAAATTTACCATACATGCAGTGTCTGGGTTATCGTTTTCTCAGGCGGTGGGCTCTCTCTGCTAGAAATTGTGATTTGTCCAGCATCCTTGTGGTTGTGAAAGCATCCTGTTTCTTCGAAAGTCAACAAATGTCATCTGTTTCTTTCATGTCCTTTCATTTTGCATTCATTTCCTGTCATTTCCTTTCATGTGGCATTCATGCCCTTTCATGTTGCATTCATGCCCTTTCATGTTCCTTCCATTTTGCATTCATGTCCTTTCATTTTGATTCAAAAGGTGATATGCTCAAACTGGTCATGTGGGTATCCTCCCAAGCGCTCGCGTTGTTTTCATATGTCGTTGTCGTGTTTGTTATCGTTTTGGAGGCCTGTGCAGGTTGCCATCTTCAAGGTTCATGAACATGTACGTGTATAAGCTCGTTATGTTTTGTTTACTCTTATCGGTTTCTGGCAAACAATGCATTAGTAGTGTTAAGGTGCAGGCCAATACTAAAATGCTGAGCGGGAGGTTTTTGCACTGGCCAATGTGCTCTTCTTGGTGTACAGGAGCAATGATCATACCATAGAGCTCTTTCTACACTTCCTTTGACCACAGTTGCACCTAGACCTTTACACAGGCCCAGGTGAGCTTCAGCAACGCATGATGTATCGTGCTGAACCTCTTAGTCTAAACAATTGCTGACGTTTCTGCTTGCGCGGTTCTTGCGCAGCCACTGCCGGACGGAAGGGTCTTGCTCACAAGCTTGCATTGCTTGGGCAACCTTGTGATTCAGCGACCCTGTAAAAGGTGACCCTGACACTCCGAGGAGGGTTGGCTGCTGCTTCGGCGGACCAATCAACAAACAGCCTGAAGGTTTACAATGAACATGATATTCTCTCTCCTGCAACCAGAAACTATCATGGAAGTGGAAACCCTTCGACTTGCTATTTGGAAAGGATGGTGGTTTGTAAAGGCCTTTTCTTTGGAAATCGTGATGAATGCTTTACGACCGGGAGCCAAGCTCTTTTCATATGTGCGTTCCAAGCCACTAGTCACAGGACGTTGAGCGTCCATTGATGTCGGCGACTTCGACTTGGACTTCAGGTCGCGGTCATGGGATTGTGGCGCCATGGAGATTCGCATGGCGCTCATCCTTTCGACCTCTTCAGATGATCAAGGGGGCTGGCAAAGGTTGGCTGTGACATGATTACGGGGCAACGCGGAAAATGCTCGCCCTAAGGCGTGAGACTGGATGCTTGATCAAACCCGTTGGGAGAGCAATCCAATGAGTTGAAAAAAATCCTATCATCTTCCAGTCTTCCATGACCTACCGTAGACTTTCTCAATGCACCTGGAAATCCAACAATGATCAGCAAGCTCCAAAGTTCTTCTCTTTGCGGGTTTTTTGGCGGTTATATCAGAAGTGAAATACCGATTTGTCTGCGCACGTGTTTCAACGAGTGTCGAATCCCTTGACCACCTCTTGGGGGGTCACACCTTGGTCTGTCATCGAAACGGTTGATGGAAAAACTCAAGACGCCAGGTGAGATCTATTCAAACGGCCTCAAGGCTGGTTTTCACACAACCTCAACCAAAAATGTATAATATATATATATGTGTGTGTTAAATGTAAGCCTGAGAAGGGGGGACGAAAGCCAGCAGCCGCCAGACGAGTGTCTCTTTTTCTTTCGGGCGTCGCGGCACAAGACACATGGTCAGCGGTGCCGCGGATGCGGGGGGCGAATGTAATGGTGATGGAGGGAGCAGAGAAGCAAGCCGGGCGGCTTTGGGATAAGTTTGGTATGAAAAAAAGTGAAAGAGAAATGCGATACGTTGTATGTTGGTGTAGGTCATCATCACAATGGCATGTGCTTGTCACATGCAGGAAGGTATGCATCTTGTGGAAGTTGGAAGGCGACATCAGCGTTAGCGAAGGGGAAATACAGTCTGAGTTCGAGTGGTGGGATACCACGTGCACGCGCGCGTGCGCACGAAAACGTTCTCCATAGTCAGCGTCGCCTCGCGCGAGTACGGCATGCGCAGTTATGTGTTTGTTACATTTGGAGCGTTTGAAGTTTGCAATGCATACTGCGGCACGTCGAGAGTGAACGGGCACGTCTTAGCCTGGACACGGACGTTTGATCCCGCGGCGCAGAAGGGGAGGTCCAGCGGGAGCTTGGGCTAGCAAAGGAGTGAGGATATGTGCGCCTATCGATGCACATGCAATCCAAAACACGGTCTTTTTCCTTTCAAGGGGCCTTTATCAAACGATCCAAACACCTTCTTTATTCGTCTCTTTCTTATCAACTCTGCACCTTTCTCACTCAAAGGCCTTGACTTTGGCACCTGCGTGTGTAGATCTTTTGGGCCGTGGACCCAGGCTGACTGGATTCGGCCGGGGCTGCCAGCAAAAAGGCGACGTCATGAGTCAGTAGTATATAGTTCTATCGGTCTATCTATCTCTCTATCTCTATCTATCTATCCATCTATCTGCACCGGCAAGCCGGAAAAACCTTCGGTGCGTGTGGACGCCGCGAGAAGCATCCACTCGACCGAGGACATGGTGCAAGTATAGCTTTTGCTAGGGGGCAGGAGCCCTATGCGGATATGTAGTCAACCTCACAGGCATCCCCACCGAAACTCAATCCAAATTCATGGACTTGAGCTCATGTCACTTTTGGCTCTCTATGGACTTCGCGAGTTACGGGTTGTCCTGGAACTCGTATCCTACATGCGGCTGCGATGATGCACTACTCGGCGTCCATTACATCACTCGCATCACCAGACCCCATTTTCACTGCTTTTCTGACCCTCGCTTTGGAGCGCTCTCCCCCACCAAGCTCTGGGTTCACCCTATCAAAAGGTCCTCAGCGACCACCCCCCCACACCCCCCTAACTCACTTCGTTCGCCCTAAAAGCTCAAGCCTATAGCCTATCGGCTGGCTTTCGTAAAAAACAAATATGTTTATCCACTATCAACTCTTACCAACTCCACGTCGTCCAAAACTTATCTTCAACTCCGTCTTCAACTCCTTCTGTCGCCCGCCTCCAACTCCTGTGAGAGCAGAATTAATGCGAACCAGATGTGCTTGATGTCGTGGCAGGACATCTGCAAGAGCACCCGGTCGAAGGCTTCGTCATTGATGTTCCTTCCATTCAGAAAAAGACAAACGTCGGTGACCTTGGTGACCTTCGGAGGGGTGGACATGTGGAAATACAGTGGCAAGCATGGAGTTTCTCCAGGTAGACCCAACCACTGGGCTATTTGGCTGTGTCTTTCCCTTCCAAACTCCGGTAAACTGCGTTCTCGGGCCAAAAAGGGCCAAATCTCTCTGGCAAATTGAAAGTTCACACCGCTTCTCTGCCACACTCAATTGAACATCACTTGGTGAACCAAAGCATATGAGGCAAAGCTGGACTAGTATGGGGCCTTACCACCAGGTATAAGATTGGTGTGGCTGCCTCGCGCAAAGAGCCCTACAGATTGGTTCGGAGCTCCAGGCTTTGACCCGCTTTGACCATGCGCAAACGTGTGTTGCTCTTTGAGCACCTTCAGTTGGGAACCTGTGAGCCGCATGCGGGGATTCTTCCGAAGGGCTTATACTGTGCTGACCTCGAAGTGGCTATGGTATCATGATGCTGTATTATGCTTCTGTTAGTCTCCTCGCCTGCATCTCTGCAGCATCTGCAGATCATTCTAAGCCCATTTCTGAATGGGTCCGCGACGGTCTCTGGTCGGCGAGGTCGTGACGATGGTGCGATGGTCGCTCCAAGTGTCTGCCGCATGTGCTCGGCGACCTTGCGGAAGGACTCCAGGACCGACGTCGGGCTGGGGATCCGCTGCAAATTGAGCTTTGCAGACGCCTCGGCCCAGGGCGAAGATCGACGCGACCCACGCGATCGACTCTCGCGAAGTGTCGTGAAGTGTTTGAGTGTGAAACGATTCGAAAAAGCGATTTGATCACACAAGAAGGGTGTCAGATGGTGCCAGGGAGGCAGCGAAACTCTTTTCTGCAGCAGATGTTGGGGTTCTGAGACGCACATTTTAGGGTTCATGCCTGACATGGCCGCATTGATGGCCAGCAAATGATCCTGGAAAGTATACCCCCTCAGCGCCCCTGCCTCAAAATCCCAGAAGTGAATTGCGGCAACTGAGCCAAGTGGAGGAAAACCAAGCATGACCAAAATGCTGTTGCTCAAGCTGAGTAAAAGTCATTTCATCTCACGATAGGCACCAGAACTGGATGATCACTCCAAACCTGCGTTAACAACAAAGACCATGTCGACCACTAGAAGATTGTCTCCAAATTCATGAAGATGACCCTGGCGATCTGAAGTTATCCCCTTCTCCACTGAGCCTTTCCTCATATTTTTGGGTCATGCGATGTCATGCGTCCAGTGCATCCTAACGACCGACCTTCGAGTTGTTGGGAGGAGAATATAATCTCCCCGCCGAACCTGACAGCAGCGAAGCGATGGGTTCGACCAGGGGGTCAGGGGGGTGAGCAGCGAAGCATCAATTTGAGACACCTATCGGTTTCCACCTGGGTTGAGCAGCCCCTCCTGCCGTCACTGCTTCAGGGCACGTGCTGAGGAATGCCCAAAGCCTCAAGGATCACTGCCGATCCCGTCAGCATGAAGAGCAACCTCGGAAAGCGGCCAGATCGACCAGGGATGTGGAGAATGCTGTCTTTTCTGTTCGTTCTACATGTTTTCTTGTCCCACTTCTTTTCATCTGTCTCCCAGGCTGGGTGCTTGTGGGAGGGTTCCCGGCTGGCTTGTCTCCCACTTCCTTTCATGTGTCTCCCAGTTCTTTTCATTTGTCTCCCAG